ATGCAGGACTTGATAATGGTCTTGGACTTGATAATGGTCCTGGACTTCATAGTGGTTCAGGACATGATAATGGACCTGGATTTGATAATGGTCCAGGACTTGATAATGGTCCTGGACTTGATAATGGCCCAGGACTTGATAATGGTCCTGGACTTGATAATGGTCCTGGACTTGATAATTGTCCAGGACTTGATAATGGTCCAGGACTTGATAATGGTCCTGGACTTGATAATGGCCCAGGACTTGATAATGGTTCTGGACTTGACAATGGTCCAAGACTTGATAATGGTCCAAGACTTGATAATGGTCCAGGACTTGATAATGGTCCAGGACTTGATAATAGTCCAGGGCTTGATAATGGCCCAGGACTTGATAATTGCCCAGAACTTTATAATGGCCCAGAACTTGATAATGACCCAGAAAGTGATAATGATGCAAGACTTGATAATGTTCCTTGACTTGATAATGGTCCAGGACTTGATAATGGCCCAGAACTTGATAATGATGCAGGACTTGATAATGATGCAGGACTTGATAATGGTCCAGGACTTGATAATGGTCTTGGACTTGATAATGGTCCTGGACTTCATAGTGGTTCAGAACTTGATAATGGTCTAGGACTTGATAATGGCTAGGGACTGGATAATTGTCCTGGACTTGATACTAGTCAAGGACTTGATAATGGTCTTGGACTTGATAATGGTCCAGGACTTAATAATGGTCCTGGACTTGACAATGGTCCAGGATTTGATAATGGTCCAGGACTTGATAATGGTCCAGGACATGATAATGGTCCTGGACTTGATAATAGTCAAGGACTTGATAATGGTCATGGACTTGATAATGGTCCTGGACTTCATAGTGGTTCAAAACTTGATAATGGTCCAGGATTGATAATTGTCCATGACTTAATAATGGTCCTGGATTTGATAGTGGTTCAGGACTTGATAATGGTCCAGGACTTGATAATGGTCCTGGACTTGATAATGGTCCTAGACTTGATAATTGTCCTGGACTTGATAATGGTCCAGGACTTGATAATAGTCCAAGACTTGACAATAGTCAAGGACTTGATAATGGTCCTGGACTTGATAATGGTCCAGTACTTCACAATGGTCCAGGACTTCACAATGGTCAAGGACTTAATATTGGTCCAGGACTGGATAATTGTCCTGGACTTGATAATAGTCAAGGACTTGATAATGGTCCTGGACTTGATAATGGTCCAGGATTTGATAATGGTCCAGGACTTGATAATGGTCCAGGACTTGATAATGGTCCTGGACTTCATAATAGTCAAGGACTTGATAATGGTCTTGGACTTTATAATGGTCCAGGACTTGATAATGGTCCTGAACTTGATAATGATTCAGGACTTGATAATGGTCCTGGACTTGATAATGATCCTGGACTTGATAATGATCGTGGACTTGATAATGGTCCTGGACTTGTTAATGGTCCTGGACTTGATAGTGGTCCTGTACTTAATAATGGTCCTGGACTTGATAATAGTCCAAGACTTGATAATAGTCAAGGACATGATAATGGTCCAGGACTTAATAATGGTCCTGGACTTGATAATGTTCCAGGACTTGATAATGGTCCTGGACTTGATAATGGTCCTGGACATGATAATGGTCCTGGACTTAATAATGGTCCTGGAATTGATAATAGTCAGGGACTTGATAATGGTCCTGGACTTAATAATGGTCCAGGACTTGATAATAATCCAAGACTTGATAATGGTCCAGGACTTTATAATGGTCCAGGACTTGATAATGGCCCAGAACTGGATAATGGCCCAGAACTTGATAATGGCCCAGAACATGATAATGATGCAGGACTTGATAATGGTCCTTGACTTGATAATAGTCCTGGACTTGATAATGGTTCAGGACTTGATAATAGTCCAGGGCTTGATAATGGCCCAGGACTTGATAATTACCCAGAACTTTATAATGGCCCAGAACTTGATAATGGCCCAGAACGTGATAATGATGCAGGACTTGATAATGGTCCTGTACTTGATAATGGTCCAGGACTTGATAATGGTCTTGGACTTGATAATGGTCCTGGACTTCATAGTGGTTCAGGACTTGATAATGAACCTGGATTTGATAGTGGTTCAGGACTTGATAATGGTCCAGGACTTGATAATGGTCCTTGACTTGATAATTGTCCAAGACTTGATAATGGTCCAGGACTTGATAATGGTCCTGGACTTGATAATGGCCCAGGACTTGATAATAGTTCTGGACTTGACAATGGTCCAAGACTTGATAATGGTCCAAGACTTGATAATGGTCCAGGACTTGATAATGGTCCAGGACTTGATAATAGTCCAGGGCTTGATAATGGCCCAGGACTTGATAATTGCCCAGAACTTTATAATGGCCCATAACTTGATAATGGCCCAGAACGTGATAATGATGCAGGACTTGATAATGGTCCTTGACTTGATAATGGTCCAGGACTTGATAATGACCCAGAATTTGATAATGATGCAGGACTTGATAATGATGCAGGACTTGATAATGGTCCAGGACTTTATAAAGGTCCAGGACTTGATAATGGCCCAGAACTGGACAATGACCCAGAACTTCATAATGATGCAGGACTTGATAATGGTCCTTGACTTGATAATAGTCCTGGACTTGATAATGGTTCAGGACTTGATAATAGTCCAGGGCTTGATAATGGCCCAGGACTTGATAATTACCCAGAACTTTATAATGGCCCAGAACTTGATAATGGCCCAGAACGTGATAATGGTGCAGGACTTGATAATGGTCCTGGACTTGATAATGGTCCAGGACTTGATAATGACCCAGAACTTGATAATGATGTAGGACTTGATAATGATACAGGACTTGATAATGGTCTTGGACTTGATAATGGTCTTGTACTTGATAATGGTCCTGGACTTCATAGTGGTTCAGGACTTGATAATGGACCTGGATTTGATAGTGGTTCAGGACTTGATAATGGTCCAGGACTTGATAATGGTCCTGGACTTGATAATGGCCCAGGACTTGATAATGGTCCTGGACTTGATAATGGTTCTGGACTTGATAATGGTCCAGGACTTGATAATGGTCCTGGACTTGATAATGGCCCAGGACTTGATAATGGTTCTGGACTTGACAATGGTCCAAGACTTGATAATGGTCCAAGTCTTGATAATGGTCCAGGACTTGATAATGGTCCAGGACTTGATAATAGTCCAGGGCTTGATAATGGCCCAGGACTTGATAATTGCCCAGAACATTATAATGGCCCAGAACTTGATAATGGCCCAGAACGTGATAATGATGCAGGACTTGATAATGGTCCTTGACTTGATAATATTCCAGGACTTGATAATGGCCCAGAACTTGGTAATTATGCAGGACTTGATAATGATGCAGGACTTGATAATGGTCCAGGACTTGATAATGGTCTTGGACTTGATAATGGTCCTGGACTTCATAGTGGTTCAGGACTTGATAATGGTCTAGGACTTGATAATGGCTAGGGACTGGATAATTGTCCTGGACTTGATACTAGTGAAGGACTTGATAATGGTCTTGGACTTGATAATGGTCCAGGACTTAATAATGGTCCTTGACTTGACAATGGTCCAGGACTTGATAATGGTCCAGGACTTGATAATGGTCCAGGACTTGATAATGGTCCTGGACTTGATAATAGACTTGATAATGGTCCTGGACTTGATAATGGTTCAAAACTTGATAATGGTCCAGGACTTGATAATGGTCCATGACTTAATATGGTCTAGGACTTGATAGTGGTTCAGGACTTGATAATGGTCCAGGACTTGATAATGGTCCAGGACTTGATAATGGTCCAGGACTTGATAATGGTCCTGGACTTGATAATGGTCCAGGACTTGATAATGGTCCAACACTTGGACTTGATAATGGTCCTGGACTTGATAATGGTCCAGGACTTGGTCCTGGACTTCAAATGGTCCAGGACTTGATAATGGTCCTGGACTTGATAATTGTCCTGGACTTGATAATGGTCCTGGACTTGATAATGGTCCTGAACTTGATAATGGTCCAGGATTTAATAATGGTCCAGGACTTGAAAATGGTCCAGGACTTGATAATTGTCCTGGACTTCATAATAGTCAAGGACTTAATAATGGTCTTGGACTTTATAATGGTCCAGGACTTGATAATGGTCCAGAACTTGATAATGATTTAGGACTTGATAATGGTCCTGGATTTGATAATGATCCTGGACTTGATAATGATCCTGGACTTGATAATGGTCCTGGACTTGATAGTGGTCCTGGACATGATAATGGTCCTGGACTTGATAATAGTCCAAGACTTGATAATAGTCAATGACATGATAATGGTCCAGGACTTGATAATGGTCCTGGACTTGATAATGATCCTGGACTTGATAATGGTCCTGGACTTGATAATGGTCCTGGACATGATAATGGTCCTGGACTTAATAATGGTCTGGAATTGATAATAGTCAAGGACTTAATAATGGTCCTGGACTTGATAATGGTCCAGGACTTGATAATAATCCAAGACTTGATAATAGTCAAGGACTTGATAATGGTCCTGGACTTGATACTGGTTCAGGACTTGATAATGGTCCAGGACTTGATAATGGTCCTGGAATTAATATTGGTCCAGGGCTTGATACTGGTTCAGGACTTGATAATGGTCCAGGACTTGATAATGGTCCAGGACTTGATAATGGTCCTGGACTTGATAATGGTCCAGGACTTGATAATGGTCCAGGACTTGATAATGGTCCAGGACTTGATAATGGTCCAGGACTTGATAATGGTCCAGGACTTGATAATGGTCCAGGACTTGATAATGGTCCAGGACTTAATAATGGTCCATAACTTGATAATGGTCCAGGACTTGATAATGGTCCAGGACTTGATAATGGTCCAGGACTTGATAATGGTCCAGGACTTGATAATGGTCCCGGACTTGACAATGGTCCAAGACATGACAATGGTTTAGGACTTGACAATGGTCCAGGACTTGACAATGGTCCAGGACATGACAATGGTCAAGGATTTGACAATGGTCCAGGACTTAACAATGGTCCAGGACATGACAATGATCCAGGACTTGACAATCGTCCAGGACTTAACAATGATCCAGGACTTGACAATGATCCAGGACTTGACAATGGTCCAGGACTTAACAATGATCCAGGACTTGACAATGGTCCAGGACTTAACAATGATCCAGGACTTGACAATGGTCCAGGACTTAACAATGATCCAGGACTTGATAAATAATGGTCCAGGACCAGGACTTGATAATGGTTCACGACTTGATAATGGTCCAGGACTTGATAATGGTCCAGGACTTGATAATGGTCCAGGACTTGATAATGGTTCAGGACTTGATAATGGTCCAGGACTTGATAATGGTTCAGGACTTGATAATGGTTCAGGACTTGATAATGGTCCTGAACGACAACAGAAGGAACAAATTACCTCATTCGTCATGTACAATAGAAGGGAAGAGAACTATCAGAAGAAAGCACCAAACCATTTCGGCTATATAGCACTTGGAGGGGGTCAGGATAAGGATTTGGGATGGGTCGGGGGTAAGGAATGGTGCCCAACAACTTATGGACAGTCGGGGATTGAACGCTGACCTGCACGAAGCGAGACCGTCGCTGTACCGTCCATCCCAAGTGGTTGGTAAACAGGCGACGCAAGGAGCAGCAGCCGCGTCGACGCTCTGTGGAGAGTCAGCAACATGTACACGACGCTCAACATGTATATAAGGGCCGGGAACAACTATACTATGGCCGGGAACAACTATACTATGGCCGGGAACAACTATACTATGGCCAGGAACAACTATACTATGGCCGGGAACAACTATACTATGGCCAGGAACAACTATACTATGGCCGGGAACAACTATACTATGGCCTGGAACAACTATACTATGGCCGGGAACAACAATACTATGGCCAGGAACAACTATACTATGGCCAGGAACAACTATACTATGGCCAGGAACAACTATACTATGGCCAGGAACAACTATACTATGGGCGGGAACAACTATACTATGGCCGGGAACAACTATACTATGGCCGGGAACAACTATACTATGGCCGGGAACAACTATACTATGGCCTGGAACAACTATTCTATGGCCTGGAACAACAATACTATGGCCAGGAACAACTATACTATGGCCAGGAACAACTATACTATGGCCAGGAACAACTATACTATGGCCAGGAACAACTATACTATGGTCAGGAGCAACTATACTATGGCCAGGAACAACTATACTATGGCCAGGAACAACTATACTATGGTCAGGAACAACTATACTATGGCCAGGAACAACTATACTATGGCCAGGAACAACTATACTATGGTCAGGAACAACTATACTATGGCCAGGAACAACAATACTATGGCCAGGAACAACTATACTATGGCCAGGAACAACTATACTATGGCCAGGAACAACTATACTATGGCTAGGAACAACTATACTATGACCAGGAACAACTATCTATGGCCAGGAACAACAGAACTATGGCCAGGAACAACTATACTATGGCCAGGAACAACTATACTATGGCCAGGAACAGAACTATGGCCAGGAACAACTATACTATGGCCAGGAACAACTATACTATGGCCAGGAACAACTATACTATGGCCAGGAACAACTTTACTATTGCCAGGAACAGAACTATGGCCAGGAACAACTATACTATGGGCAGGAACAACTATACTATGGCCAGGAACAACTATACTATGGCCAGGAACAACTATACTATGGTCAGGAACAACTATACTATGGCCAGGAACAACAATACTATGGCCAGGAACAACTATACTATGGCCAGGAACAACTATACTATGGCCAGGAACAACTATACTATGGCTAGGAACAACTATACTATGGCCAGGAACAACTATACTATGGCCAGGAACAACAGAACTATGGCCAGGAACAACTATACTATGGCCAGGAACAACTATACTATGGCCAGGAACAGAACTATGGCCAGGAACAACTATACTATGGCCAGGAACAACTATACTATGGCCAGGAACAATTAACTATACTATGGCCAGGAACAACTATACTATGGTCAGGAACAACTATACTATGGCCAGGAACAACAGAACTATGGCCAGGAACAACTATACTATGGCCAGGAACAACTATACTATGGCCAGGAACAACTATACTATGGCCAGGAACAACTATACTATGGTCAGGAACTAACTATGGCCGGGAAACTATACTATGGCCGGGAACAACTATGGCCAGGAACAACTATACTATGGCCGGGAACAACTATACTATGGCCAGGAACAACTATACTATGGCCAGGGCCGGAACAACTATACTATGGCCAGGAACAACTATACTATGGCCAGGAACAACTATACTATGGCCAGGAACAACTATACTATGGCCAGGACAACTATAATATACTCATGGCCAGGAACAACTATACTATGGCCAGGAACAACTATACTATGGCCAGGAACAACTATACTATGGCCAGGAACAACTATACTATGGCCAGGAACAACTATACTATGGCCA